TAGAAGAATAATAGGTAGCTTACAGGACTGTGAGAGGACTAGAGAGGCTACTCAAGGATAGGAATGGTGTCCAACACATGCGTCAGGAACTACTCCGTAAGAAACTACTTCTGGTACCATTGCTGTCACCAACCTCTAGAGAACCCATGCATACCACTGTCACTTCTGAACCAGGAACTCAATTATACCACATCCACCACCACTGCCCATCTGACATGCCACTTCCCATGTCAGGAACTGAACTGTGTACCCCCTGCTGAAGCCACACCCCCAGAGGGACAGAGAGACTGCACCTTGAATTTAACTTCAGTTTCACTAGCTCTTGAATCTGACAAGGAAAGCAAGAGCCTGTAATTTCCAGCTTGTAGAAGGGCTTGTCTTTTCACCCTCCAAGACTCACAAAGTAGAAGATTCTCCAACTCAAAATGTGGTTCTGAATGCTCAGTGGCCAAAATATCTACTGTAGAGCAAGAACTGTGAGCCTGGATAGTATTCTGGCACTCTTAGAACTGAAGGATGGGATAAAAGGCCAACTTTATTGCTAGAAGAGGCATCTACTCCAGCCCTCTTTGGAGGTTATGGGAAAGGGCCATGTATAGATCACATGAATATTTCACTCCGGCAACCTCTAAGGAAGTGTCCTTCCCTACAGTTTAACAATGAATGACGATTTGACCAGTTAGAATGACTGGTCTCTTGAACCGAGGTTGCAGAAGACAGAAATGAAGATGACAAAACATTATCAAGGGTACTTGAACCAAAATTCTCAGAGGCTGAGGTACACATCTGAGTTTCTGGGAGGTCATGAACTGGAAAAATGGATGTAGATATATTCTAAGTGGAAATGAAAACCAAATGGGGCAAATTAATTATTTTTTAATCATGGTGATAATTAGGGACCATCGACCTTTAAGAAATTGTTGCAGTGTTCAAGCCATTAATGTCTTAGCACAAAATATTATGCAATGTATGTCATATCTAAGCCCAAAGAGAAAAGGATGCATATGGGTGTAGTCAGTGGGAAGGAAAAGAGAAACAGGTATAGCAAATGGCACAATAGAATAAAGGTAGTTGTTATGGCTTTTATCTAGCTGTCTCCCCAAAGCCTCATGAGGTCATAGGTGGGGCTTTTCAGAGGTGGCTGGATCTAGAGAGTGTAATGCTGGGATTACGGGTGTGTGATTAGTAAATTAGCCCACTGATTGGTTTGGGATCATTCTGGGTGTGGATAATGGGAAAGCACACCCTGGGTGTGAATGCTACCTGCCCTAAGGGCATGTAGCCTGGCTAGAATATAAGGGACAGAAAGAGTGCTGGTATTGTCACTTGCTGCTTTGCTACTTTGCTGCTTTGCTGCCTTCTGCCCACCATGAACTATTCTCTGTGATGCCCCTCTGCCATGGCACCCTGCCTTGGAGCCAGCCAATTATGGGCTGAAACTTCTACAAACTGTGAGCCAAAATAAACTTTTCCTCCTTTAACTTTGGGTGTCAGAAATTTTGTCTCAGCAACGAGAAAAGTGACTAAGACAGTAGTCCAAGGGGGTCTGGATGGCAAGACAGCATAGAGAGGGAAGAGGCTGCAATCTGAAGATATGGGTCATGTGTGGAGGAAAGAAGCATCATGAGAGTGCACAGCAGAACCAGACAAAAGACTGATAATCACTTTACTTCCTTATTGATAATCCCTAAGAAAGCGTTTCAGAGAGGGAGAAGAGAGCCAAATCAGGGATAAGTGATTTGGAGTAAGCATAGGCTCCTGTATCCACAAAGCAATTGGCTGACATATGGAACAAATCCTGGATTTGACATGGATCCTCCTCCTTCTTCCCTTGACATGTGCCTCTCTCCTCAAATTCTTTATGTCCGCTGTAGCTAGGAACACTGACTGCTGAGCAACACCCAGTTTGGCAGCCTCCCCAACACAGACTCCTTCCCATACCTGCCACCCACTGTGAGGAACCACAGAATCTGGGTAGGAGTGAAACTCCATGCTTCGGTGGGAAGGGCTCATAGACCCAATCAGAGTAGTCCATAAAATGTTTTGTTCCAGAAATGTATTCCTCCTGCCCAATGTATCAAAATGTTCTGTAACTGAGCTGGCCAGGTGTGTGTCTCAAGAATGTTCTGTTAACTCCCCAACTCTGCTTCTATGAGCATGCTCGCCTGGCACATGGGGCCACCTCTCTACCTTGTAGGTCTCTATATAATTCTGCTTCCATTTCAACTTGGGGCTCAGAATTTGGAATGGACAAATTCTGAGCTAGCCAGCTAATAAAGATTTTTCTCCATCTCTTCAAGTAACTTTCGGATTCCCGAGTCTTCAAATTGCTGGAGGTGTGCGCACTTAAACTATAACACAGGCTGTAACGCTGAGCTGTTCTGTTTTGCCACAGCAAGGTGGTGCCTTCTAATTAAACCACATGATGACAGATATGAAATCAGAAAGATCATTGAGCAGAAGCAAACAGTTTGGTTCTCTAAAAATCTTACTTCCATGATTGTTTTGGGGATGAAATAAGATGACCTACTGGGCTGGTGATTAGCTTAGACGTAAAGTGCTTGCCTAGCATGTGCAAGGCCCTAGGTTTGATTCCTAGCACTGGAAAAAAAAAAATCAAAGACCTATACCAACATCCTGAACATCAAATACCCAGGACAGTGCCCAGGTCCCACACTACACAGCAGATTCCCTGCAAATACTTCCCTTCATCAAACACAGGTTAGTTAGCTTTCTGTTATTGTGACAAAAATACTTGAGTTAATCTACTTAAAAGGAAGGTTTATCTTGACTCAGTTTCAGAGGTTTCAGTCCATGACTGCTTAGCTCTGTTGCCTGTGGACTTGTGGCGAGGCAGAACAACATGGCAGGGAGTGGGGGAGTACATGACAGGGAGCCTGCTTACCTCATGGTAGTCAGGAAGCAAACAGAGAGGAGGGGCCAGTATGCCAAATCCCCTTTGAGGGCCATCCTGAGTGACCTCACATCCAAAGATTGTACTGCCTCCTAGTAGTGCCACAGGCTAGTGACAAAGCCTTTAGCACATGGCCTCTGGGAGACATTTAAGATTCTGACCATAGCAACATCCTTATTCTGGGGGTGGTTGCTTGCCTGCATAGTGCTTTCATTCCTTGGCAAGCAGCTAAAGGTGTCTCCCTCTGGGGGCATGCAACCCTGTGGGTGCAGGGTTTGATAAACAGAAGTTACATCTGTGCAAGATCTCCCCCAACTGTAACAAACCAGGATTGTGCCTTTGTTGGTAGGGTGTGGGACAGACTTCTCGCCCCGTGGCCCCTTCAGCCCTGGCCCTTCATCTCTGAACAGTGCAGGCAGCCCAACCAGGTGGGGCGCTGCTTTCACGTGGCTTTCCGAAGCCCATGGACTGGCTATATGGTACCCAGTTAAACACAAACCAGTTCCCTGCCTTCTCTCCACCCTAGAAAACTCACCATTCCTAGGAAGCTGTGTGTGGTTCCTTCTTGTCCTGGTGCAGGGACCTCTGCCTTTCCCGGGCATTCTTTCCTTACTCCTATCAGCCTTTTAAACCCTGGAGCCATGACCCTGTTTCTGGAAATCCTTCCTCAGTACACTCAGAACTGTGCATACCATCTCCTCTTTGCTTCCAGAAGCCTGCTCTTTATTCTTTACTGCAGCACCGATCACATTATATAGTAATTATCTGTTTGCTCATCAGTTCCTTTCCGCTTCTCCTCCAGGGACTGGCTTGCCAGCTCCTCCTCCTCTGCTCAAGAATAAAGCCAGGCTTCTAGTAGACCTCAATACATGCTTGTTAAATGAAATGCTGAATGGATCAATGACAAGGAGGAAGGAGGGAGTAAAGAAAAGAGAAGGCGAAGGTTACATAGAAAAGTTCACTGTTCTCAAACAGACAGACCTATATCTGTTTCAACATTTGCAGTTCAAACAAAAGGAAAAAAGCAAGCAGAGTCTGTGGGATGCTTAGAAACAAAGTTGCTTCCTGTCCCAATCCCTGACAGTTGAGAAATGGGTTTTGTGTGTTTCTCTTTTACCATTTGGGGCATTATCTTCTATGTCTATGGGAAGTGGGGTGGTGGTGGGGGGTGGGTGTCCTGTGGGGGTCTGCATTCAGGAGCTGATGTGGGCCCATCCATGATATCCCCTTCCCACCCCACTTCCATGCCAGATGGGATGGGCCCAGAGCCCTCAGTATTCTTGGCAGTCTGGCATTACTGTGGGCCAAACGAATGAGGTCACTGTTGCCAATGAAGTCACCACTGCATGATTCACCCGACATCAGTTCCCCACTTGGAGTGTGCTCACATTCCCTGGGCTTCTCCCAGAGCATCCTGAACTCAGGGCCCCCTGCAAGATGAGCTCACACTTATAAAACAGAAAACCAAAGTCCAGATAGGGGAAGCAACATGCTGGAGTTAACACTGGTAACTTGTGTTAGAGCCAAATCAGCTCCCCTGGCCCAGTGCCCTCAATTACTTCTGACAGACACTCTTTTCAGAACAGTAGTCCCAGCAAATGCTTCGGAGCAAATGGTCCTCCAGATAAAGAATGGGACATGTTCTACACATTTCCCCACTAAGAGTAAGTGGCAAGACCTGACTTGAAAGCATCGTACCACCTTTCTTAACCTGCTATTTAGTACATATAAAGTATCTTCCAGAGTCATGCACAATGTAAAACTGCAGTGAAATACCCACACTAAGATATGGAAAAGCTGGACCTGAAGAGATCTGAACGTGAATCCACAAGGAACTTTCACTAGCCCTGGAAATCTTCCCGGGAGAGTGGAAATAAGACTCAGGGTTTGAGGACCGAGGCCCGGGAATGGAGAAATCAGGATCTGTCCCAATGTGTGCTCCCAGTTGAGACCTTGGCTGCCTGTGGGGACACCACATCACCTCTCCAGGCATCAGTTTACTCAACTCTGACCTAGGGGCGAGGGTTCAACTAACTTCTTTTTTTTTTTTTTTTTTTTTTTTTGGTACTGGGGATCGAACTAGGGTCCTTGCGCTTGCGCAGCAGGCAGCGAAACCACTGAGCTAAATCCCCGGTCTAACCTCTATTCTGACTCCTAGCACAGCATTGTGCACTGCTTCGAATCGATAAAAGGAAGCGATTTCCTTTGGGTCAGCAGGCTGGGGATGAGACGCAGCGGCCTAGGAGCCCCCTCCACCCCGCGTCCCACGTGCAAAGCGGCAGCACACTCTAAAACCAGACCTGGGCATAGCGCGACCTCAGGCTTTACCAGACGGAAGGGCGGGGGTCGCCTGCCCAGACTTAGAGCAGGAGGGTGCACCACTCATCAGATTTCACAACCAAGTACCTCGGAGGGAATTTGGGGACCGAAGGAGGCATCATCGGAGAATGCCGCCTCCCAGGTGAGCACAGGTACCTGGGCCGGGCCCAAAGCCAGCGGGGTCTCCCCTTTCTGGCAGGTTGGGGAGGCTTCAAGGGTTCACGCGCTTGCATCTCCCTTAGTCACCAGCTTCACAGAAAATGATTCAAGCTCATGCTGTGAAAGGCGTGGGGTGGGGGTGGGACGAAGCAGGACACCTGGAGTTGCTGCTTTGCAGCTCAAGGACCCTGCCACCTCAACCCCGCCGGCCCCCGTGCCCTTGTCCCTTTTACTACCCTGTCGGCCTCCCTTTCTTCCCGATCGCTAGTTCCTGGAGCACGAAGAGGCCAAAGGGATCCCTGCAGCCCCGCAGGCGGAGTGTAAATACACACATCTCATTCCGCACGACGGTTGCGTCATCGCCGAAGCCTGCGAACGCCTCCCCGCGCGGCGCGCACTTTAGCGAGGAGCCCTGGCACCGCCCCCTCCCGCGCCTGGCTCCTCCTCCTCCGAGCCCTCCACCGCCCTCGCGGGGACTCGCCGGGGGCGGGGACAGCCGCCGGCCCCTCCCCGCGGCCGCCCTCCGCGAAGTTGCTGTCTCCCCCGGGCCGGCCGGTCTTATGATCCGGCTGAGCCTCCCGGGGAGGCCGGGCCGCGGAGAGGGCGCGGGCGCCGGGGAAAGCGGGCGCGCGGGCGTGGGGACCGGGACCGGCGAGGGGACCCGGGCGGCAGCGACCGAGGCGGAGGCGGCGGCGGCTGCGCTCCGAGCCCGTTGCTCCCTGCCCTCCCCTCCGGCGGGGGGCGCCGCCGCATGGGGCCGGGGGGACAGCGGCGTCGGCCCCCCCAGGCGCGCTGGGGCTGAGCCCGGCCGGCGCGGGGGCGCGCGGGGACCATGCCCGGAGGCCGGCCGGCCGCAGCATGGCTCACGGGCCCGGCGCGCTGATGCTCAAGTGCGTGGTGGTGGGCGACGGGGCGGTGGGCAAGACGTGCCTGCTCATGAGCTACGCCAACGACGCCTTCCCCGAGGAGTACGTGCCCACCGTCTTCGACCACTACGCCGGTGAGCCGCGAATGCTAAGGGGCAGCTCCCCGGGCCCGGGAACTTTGGAGCAACTTTGGCGGAGCCCCCGGCCGCCTGCTCGAGCGCGCTGCGCTTCCCTCCCCCGAGCCCTCAGCCGGTGCTGTCCCGCTCCCGGGCGGAGCCTCCCACGGCCCCTCGCCGCAGCTCCCACCCCTCTTACCGCCCCCTACCCGACCCTGTTCGTCCCCACTGCCCATTGTCCCGGTGCCCTCCTTGACCTTCCCATAGGTGCCTCCCCTACTGCCCCAAGCCTCTGGGGGGAACATTTGGGGGTACCATGCGCGATGTGGCTAAAGGATTTGGGGGGCGCATCACACCCCATCTCATGCTACTTCACTGTGAGCTGGGCGCTAGGAAAAGGGGGTGACATCTCCCAGGGAGCGCCCACGTGCCTCCATCTGGGTTGGGAGAGGAGGGTCAAGGTGGGGACCGAAGTTCCCCCAGAGCCCAGGTCATTGTGAGCTTCTGTCCCCACCCTCACTTCTGTCTTTGCAGTCAGCGTCACTGTGGGGGGCAAGCAGTACCTCCTGGGACTCTATGACACGGCGGGACAGGTAAGTGTCTCGGACCCCACCCCCACCCTCCAGTTCTGTGTGTGTCTGTGAAGAGCTTGTGGAAACCTATGTGTCTGGATGGGAGGGTGTGTCTGCCAGGGGTCTCCCTCCGGATCAGGTCTTTCCTCAAGTCATCCAATTAAGAAAGCAAACAGAAAAATAAATACAGACCAGCCCACCCATGTGAACCCCTGGGCTGTGAAAGTTTTTGCCTATGTGGGTCGTTCCGTGTGGCAACGGGTGTGTGGGTCCCAACTCCTGTTGCAAAGTGGCAGGCCAATGGTGAAGCGCCCTTATTTTTAGTTGCAGATGACCAGGTCTCCCCCTCGCAGCAGCCTGTGTCTGGTCCCTCATTGGTGAGTGGTCTGCCTGCCCGAGGAGTCTGATTGGTGGGAAATGGCATCATCTAATATGATGGGAAGGCATTTCGTCCTGGTTATGTTTATTACAACATCGTTGCAATCTCGGCCTTGAGTCCCTGAAAACGTAATTTGTGGTGTTAGCAGAGGACCACAGGGAAAAAAAGAAAAGAAAAGAAATAGCCAGATCCAGTCACTCCCTGGGGTTGGCATGAGGAGGCAGGGTTAAGAGTTCAGCATGAATCTTGGAGGCAGAGCTTTCCTCCCTGCTCAGGAAGGCCAGGTCACTTTGTCTGGGTTTTCTTTGGAGAGATTATTTTGCGAAAGAAATGCACACTTCTCCTTGTAGCCTCTGGCCAATGTTTGCGCATCAGAAGTGGCCAGGCTGTGCTTCTATAGGATAAGGGCCTTCTCTGTGTCGCTCTGCCCCAGTCCTATGTCCTTCCTAGAACTACTTTTGGTCTAGGACTGAGATGATTATGTGTGATGAAGTTTTGCAAAATCCAGCTCTGATTTGACAGGAAAACTCAGGCATAAGTTTCTGCATGTCATGCAGACTTGAGTCCTTGGGGACATGTGAGCAGCTGAAGTACTTGGCTTTGGGGGAAGTCCAGTAGTAGAGTTTCCTTATATGTAAAATGGGTTGGTTTTTTTTTAAAAAAAAGACCATCTTGCTGTGCAGATACTGTATGCCCAAATGCTTGGTGCTGAGCCTGGCACATACTTGGCACGTAATAAAGGAAGGGAACGGTGCTTTTTGTAGCTTGTTTAGATTTGGCTTTCAGAATTGTACACAGGTTCTGTGTTGGATTCTGAAGTGCCTTGTTGGGTGTGCCTCCACGTGACCGTGAAGTTAGAGGAACATCTGAGGATGGAAAAATGCTGCCATGTCAAGGTGCCAGAGGCCACTCCCTGTCACCAAATGCCCAAATCCATGCAGCCAGTTCTCAGCTTTCCAGAGCCCTCTTGGTTGTCTGCTCTCTAGTTGTTGCTCCTTCTGCCTTCCCAAGAAGGTGGGGAGGGAAAGAGGCAGAACTCAATCCAGACCAACTTTTACGTAGCACAGTTGATAAACAGGAGATTGGCATTGCTGGTTTAAAAGGAATATTTAAAACTTGTCTTTAATTTTAACTTCTCTCACTACCTCCTCTTCTCTTATTTCCTTTATTTATCACTCGGATCTTTTTTTTTTTTTTCCACATGTTCCCATTCAGCTGCACATGTGCATGTCAGACCTTCGGTGCACACTCAAACCCAACTAGCATTTACTGAGTGCCTTCTACCTATCAGGCATGGGGCAGCCACGTTTATGGGTCTGAATTTGCTCTGGTTGGAGGTGATTGTGTACACAAGAAGTCACGGGAGTCACAGAGCCCCAAAATTGTTTGCATTGTTTGTGTACACATAGATGTGATAATACCTGGAGTCTTCACAGCCATTTTCTGAGTGAGGGTTGTATGCTACTTGTGCTAACCAGGGAACTTAAATCCAACGAGGTACCACAAGTCGAGTTCATTCATAGAGCCAGGCCTTTCCATATGTCATCATAATTGCTCTTTCCAGCAGAATACTGTAAGATACATGCCAAGCAGGATCAACATAAGGCTCAAATCATACTGTTTTTACTCAGTGGTAGGACGCCTACTCTGTTGGCCCAGATATGTGTTAGGCCCCCTTGGTATTTCTCCCAGCGGCCAAGACTCTTTTTGGATCAAAGTTAGTAATGGTTCATCTCTGATTGCTAATAAGCAACTTTAGCAATGATGAGACCAAATGACAAGTGCCTATTGTACCCATAGTACTGTACTACACATCTGGAGAGTGCGAAAGAACAAATGTAAGGTAGAGATATGTCACAGCAAGTGTTAGCATAGGTAGTGGTGTCTGGATCAGATGCCTGGCCATGTGTCTCATGTAGGAGATTGCTGTTTTATACTTTTTTTTTTTTGGTACCAGGGATCGAACTCAGGACCTTGTGCTTGCGAGGCAGGCGTATACTTGGTTTTTAAGATCCCATGTCTCTGTCAATCTGTATCAAATTTATTTATGTACACACACACACACTCACTCACAGCCAGGCCTGATGGGCAGCAGAGGAAAGCCTGTGGCCTTGAAACCAAACAGGCTTGGGTTCAAAACTCCACCTTGCTGTGCTGGTCATGTGCCTCTACCTTTTCACTGTGTTTATAATAATAAAAACATGGATAATTAGAATCTACACTGCAAGATTGTAGGCTGTCTTAAATTCTTTAACATATATAAAAGCAGCTGACACTATTCTTTGTGCCTAGTATAAGAAGTTGTGTGATACTGCTATAAATTATTGTACTTCTCTCAGTTTTGTGGAGAGAGGGGTCACAAGTGGAAGAGGACAGTGCATTCATTATGTCTGGAGTTGATAGAAATTCCACTAGAAACCAGACCCTAGAATCTCTTCAGAAGAGGTATGGAGCCCCATTAATGTACGAGAAATACCTGAGTTTCAGAAGAAAGTGGCGTAGGTAGGCTTCAGTTGGTTCTTTTTTCAGAAAGCTAAGATGGGAGGAGGAAGCTCATGGTGCTGGAAGGCAGTTGCTTTCTCTCTCAAATGTTTTTCTCATGCATGTGGGCACTTGCTGTATCTATTTAAATAACAGCAACAGCTCCTCCCTCAAGTTGGCATGTTTCCTCTACTTGCTTTCTGGTGGCCTTCTCCGTGACCCCAGTCAAGTTCAAAGCCACAGGCATCATTTGCTCAATTTGCTATTAGAAATCTAACAGTCAAGGGATGTTCGAAGTAGATGACATTTTGCCTTCTACACAGGCTGCTTTCCATCTGACCTCTGCTACTGTTAGCAGAGAGAGAAAGAGAGACAGAACGAGAATAGAGTGTGTTAGACATCAGTTACCAACAAGTGCTCTGCCTAGGGATATTCCTTAATGTCCCAGCTCACTCACTGGCGTCCCTGCCAAAGGGCAGCCCTCTCCTCTCTTGGCTGAGCCTTGGGTTATCCAAAGGCAGCAGTGTGACATTTTGACTGCCAAGCATTTTGGAGTGAAAGTTGACGGAGGCATATTCCACTGTTCTGGGTCCTTGTGGAGAGGTCTGGCTTTCTGCCTAGGCCTCAGTGGAGCTTCTCCCTTCCTGCCGGCTTTTGGATCATCAGCGTTGGCTCAGTAGTAGGCCCTTTGTCTGCTCTGGGGGAGAGTCTGCAGGTGGATTTTCCCTTCTGCCTCTGTACTGTTTGGAGCAAAAAGGAAATGGGTTCCCACTGTCCAGATAAGCCCATGGCCTGCAGCCCAGGGCCTGCCTGGCAAGCTGCTCTCTAACTGCGGGCTCTGGGCTGATCTCTTAATCCTTGGCAGGAAGGCAGAACTTGATACCCTGAAGAGGGAAGGACTAAAGCCTAGTTTATCCCAGGTCCCAGAATACTCACACTCAGAAGGATTGTGTTGGGGTGACTTTGGGATCCCTACAGTTCCAGATTTAGCTATTGTCTCAGTGTGTGGAAGTCCATGTGTATGCTTTTGGCCATGCTGTTGCTATGTATGTCTGAAAACTTAAACACACAAGTTCAGGGATGCATAAATGAGAGCTATAAATATTCTCTACACCACTGTTCCCTGAGGTAGCTTTTTCAGTGACAAATGAGATTTGTTTCACGTTTGATATCGTCCAGCAGCTGTGCCTGCCCCACGAGCCCTCTGGATGTCCAGGGAAGCACTTCCCCTGACAAAGGGACTCTCCACCCAAAGCAGCCTCTGTGGGCCCCTCCTTTCGCATTTCCTGGGGCAGCACACAAGGGCCCAGCATGATGGAAATGTGGAGGGGAAGGGAGAAAGGTATTGCCCTCATCAGGCTCTTCATATAACATCCTTCCTGGTAGACTTTTCCCAGAGGAGGAAGTGGAGAGTGAGTGGGCTTATGGGAACCAGAGAGCTGTGCTTTGGAAATAGATTTTTCTACATTGGAGAGGGCCTGCATTGAATAAAGGGAGAGCTTAGGAAATGCCCATCCACAACACCAGGCTCCACATTCCTGCAGCCCCACATTTCAGCCCTGAGGAACCCAGGGAGTAGAGTCTGGAAGGAGCCACAGGGTAGCTAACAGACATTTGCTGCAACAGGTGAGATTCTGGCATTGAGCATCCTGGTTTCCCTTAGTAACCTACTGTAGATTTATCATCTATGCATTTTGCTAACCTTTTTAGAAGCTATTTATAACTCTAGCCTGCACTACATCACACGGGAATGCTAGGTTCTTCCTTTGCATTGGGATGGTGCATGGCCTTTGTTGACTTTAAAACTTTGCTCTGTAGAATGCCCAGTGTTCCCTTCTTTGGGACTCTGATATCAGTTGGGATGTGCCAGCTCAGACTCTGGCTGGGAGGCAGGGACTTTGGGATAGGACCCACCCCCCCCATTCCTACTGCCTCCGCTTGGTTTCTGGCTTGGTTCAGCCATGCCCCATCCCCTCCCAGGCCCTTTGATCCGTCTGGCTTTTCCACTTATATCCTGGGTCTCCGGAGGTTTGATGACATTTCTGTTCTGTAGAGCAAAGCTTCCTGGCAGCTATACCAGGCATGTGTGTTACAAGATGGTATACCATCAGTTTTGGGGGCCAGAGGAATGGAGATCCCCAAAGGGGCTAAGGGTATGTTG